GATTCCGAACGATTGATGTAGTGAAAGGTAAATAGTACCGTCTTAACGACGCAATACCCACCTAATTGTTCGAAAAAAAAAAAAAAAAATGCCGGATTCGCGTTTTTTTCTTTTTTTCGCTATAACTCAATTTGTGTGAACTTTTCTCATATAGAACCTATACCGTTAGACTCAGCTCGTCGAGTTCTATGAGCTGGTATCCTTGAAGACTGAAAAAATCGAAAATTGAACTCTTCTTTCTATAGAAGTACCCTCAAAAATGCTTGCACTTGTCAACGAGCGAGTCTCACTGTAATTGTACCCAGAGAGTAATCGTTAGGGAATTAAATCAGTCAGGACTCAAGTAGCGTGCTGTATCGCGTGAGAAGTGATTAAAAATTAGATAGCTGCGTTTCCCAAATGCTGCTGATCATTTTGGTGCCCATTTTCCTGGAAAATAATGGGGTTTTGCTCAATGTCATTTTCGGACGATAAAGCCTTTCCACTCCAGAGAATCTCGAGCAGTGGTTCAGTTCGGACCGCACGAGCACAAGAGGCCTAATGTATGGAGCCCTGTTTTCCCCAGTATTTGCAAAATTCAAGAATGATGTCAAAAGAAGGGTTTTTTAGCATCTTCGAATGAGCACTTCGTGCGATTCTAAGGCAAACACTCGATTTCAGCGTTTTGAAACGAAATTCCCAGCGCTCTCAGTGGCCCTGTAAGTTCCATAAAGAATTCATCAGCACAGAACGCGTTTTCCCCAATAAGTTGGTGGAAAACCAGTGGCATATTTTGGACTGGTTGCCGTTATCGGGAGCCAACTTCAAGACCTTATTTCAAAGCAGAATCTACGCGCTTTTCAAAGAAAGAACACCTCAGTCAAAGAAACACCACTCGAATCTCTATGAAAAATGCTATCTATTCATATAAAAATCACCTTATCTGACCCTCTATGACTTTTTGCAGATTCCCCGGCTCTCTGCCCTAGCAGTTATCCCACCGAGGGTGTCAGGGCACTGTATTGATCAGTCTTAGCAATTTCATCTACGAACGTGGTCTCTTCTTTTTATTATTTCGCAGAAAATCCATGAATACTGCCGCTTTAGAAAATGCTTCCCTTATTTCAAATTTGAATTTCCATCAAAATTTCAAAAACTCTGCGCTTTGATTTACAAACTCCTTCATCATTAATTAATGTTCACAAAGATTCCTTCATAGTAACTCACTGAGATTCGCTCAACTGAGTTCTTGTACTTGAAGGCAATTGAATGGTTCCACAACGTACACAAATTTTGACTGATCAAACAGTTTTCGATTTCCGGAAATGGCCAGAGTTTCGCATTTTACAAGGTATCCCGAGTATCTATCATTCTCATACCACACACGAATGTATTGTTATAGTTGCTTTTTCCATCGTTATCGTTTGCACGAAGGCCTCCAGCCGATCGCAGCTGCCGGACTCGATGGTATCTGCGCATATTACCTCAGGACTGCTCGAGATTTTACAATGTTTGAATAGAATAGATTACAATAAAAGGCTCAAACAAACTAATCTAAAAAATGTGAGCCATGATTCCTGAGGAGACCCCATTCATATTCAGTTATCTGCAATTCCGGCAGCAAATATGTTCAGTTGTAAGATACTGGAAAGCAGGACAGCTATCAGTGCAGCATAGTTAAATCTGGCGCATGCTTCATTGTATTATGCAAGCTCTATCGAGAAACCGAACCATTAATAATTGATGAAGGAGTTTGTAAATCAAAGCACAAAGTTTTTGAAATTTCGATGGAAAATTCGAATTTGAAATAATAGAAGCATTTTCTAGAGCGGCAGTAGTCATGGATTTTCTGCGAAATAATGAACAGAAGAGACCACGTTCGTAGATAAAATTACTAAGACTGATCAATACAGTGCCCTGACACCCTCGGTGGGATAACTACTTAGGAGGTCGATTGACCGCTGACAGGGCAGATAGCCGGGGAAATCTGCAAAAAGTCATAGAGGGTTAGATAAGGTGATTTTTATATGAATAGATAGCATTTTTCATAGAGATTCGAGTGGTGTTACTTTGACTGAGATGTTCTTTCTTTGAAAAGCGCGTAGATTCTGCTTTGAAATAAAGTCTTGAAGTTGGCTCCCGATAACGGCAACCAGTCCAAAATATGCCACTGTTTTCCACCAAGTTATTGGGGAGCACAACGCGTTCTGTACCAAGCTTCTTTAGGCTGCGTTTATACTTTGCGGCAGCGTAGCGTAGCGTTGCGCAGCGTAGCGCTTCCAGCGTACGCCAGCGGCAGTGCCGCTAGCGCACGCTGGCGTAGCGAGGGCACGGGAAGCATAGCTATCGATCTAGCTTCACCAGCGTTTCTCCAGCGTTTTCCCAGCGCTTGCAGCGACGGGGCTAGAGAGGGGCTAGAGAGTATTGAAAGTAGCGTTAGTTAGCCTTCAATACTCTCTAGCCCCGCTAGCGCTTGCAGCGACGGGGCTAGAGAGTATTGAAAGTAGGAGAGTACAAAATACTCTCCTACCTTCAATACTCTCTAGCCCCTCTCTAGCCCCGTCGCTGCAAGCGCTGGGAAAACGCTGGAGAAACGCTGGTGAAGCTAGATCGATAGCTATGCTTCCCGTGCCCTCGCTACGCCAGCGTGCGCTAGCGTGCCGCTAGCGTACGTCAGCGTGCGCTGGTGACGCTGGGAACGCTAGATCGATATGCATCCTCTCCCCGGCACTGCCGCTGGCGTACGCTGGAAGCGCTACGCTACGCTGCCGCAAAGTATAAACGCAGCCTTACGGTTTTTATAGGGCCACTGAGAGCGCTGGAAATTCCGTCTGAAACGCTGAAAATCGAGTATTTGCCCTAGTATCGCACGAAGTGCTCATTTCAAGTTGCTAAAAAACCCTTCTTTTGACATCATTCTTGAATTTTGCAAATATTGGGGAAAACAGGGCTCCATACATTAAGCCTCTTCTGCTTTGCGGTTCGAACTGAACCACTGCTCGAGATTTGAGTGGAAAGGCTTTATCGTCCGAAAATGACATTGAGCAAAACCCCTCTATTTCCAGAAAAATCGGCACCAAAATGATCAGCAGCATTTGGGAAACACAGCTATCTAATTTTTAATCACTTCTTACGCGATACAGTACGTTATTTGAGTCCTGAATGATTTAATTCCCAACGATTACCCTCTGGTTACAATTATAGCGAGACTCGCTCGCTAACGAGTGTCCTCAGGTACTTCGATAGGAAGCAGAGTTCAATTTTCGACTTTTTCAGTCTTTAACACATTGAACGCCGCGTGAATTGTAGGCAATACACGCGCACACTCCGTTTCTCGCGTTCTGAGAGCAAAAAGCAAAGCAAAGCAAATTGCCCACAATTCACATTTTGTGGGTCGGTATTTTCGTGGATAATAGTGTGACTTGAACCATTCTCACCGAGTATATGTTCAGTGAGCTTTGCTTATGCTTGTTCTTGATGGCGTGAAATAAGCTGCTCATTGAAGTAATTCATTAATATTACAAAATAACAGTCAGTAATTGAGTGTTATTTTAATTCTTATGATAGCTCCGCATCACTACAATGGTAGTAAGACTACTAGTGATAAGTAGTGGTAATTTGCAATATATTTGATAGGGTTTTAATCCATTATGATAACAACACTTATGTTGTCAAAACTGACGTTTACTTGTTCTACTTTGTCCAGATTCCATCGGTGCAAAAAAAATTATCAATTCACATTGGAACAGTGTGAACGAGCGGCCAAAAATAACCCAGAATGAAGCGTGTAAAGGGGCAATGCGCACAAAAGACACTCGTTTCGCGTCGTTTGTATGCTGGCACTCTCATCGCGCTGCGAGACGCAGGAAGTGAAAACAGGAAGTCCCGCCGCAAAAAGCCGTGGCGTTCAATGTGTTAAGGATACCAGCTCATAGAACTCGACGAGCTGAGTCTAACGGTATAGGGTCCTATATGAGAAAAGTTGCACACAAAATGAGCTATTAGCGAAAAAAAAAACGCAAACCGCGTTTTGTTTTTTCGTTTTTCTTTTTACGGGCAATCTAGGGTGCGGTAATTGTGCATTTTATTTGTCTAACTGGCAGAAACAGTTAAAGAATTGCGGTCTGTCATATGGCCGGGAAGAGCTGCTCCTTCACTGGAAAAAAATACTATATCTAAGCATAGGAATTCTAGATAGCGAACCTTGTGGATGAGCATTCTAGCGGAGTACCAAATGCAATTTGAACCCCCGCTTTCCAAGATATCATTCAAGAATTTTTTCATCATAACAGATCAGAAAAAGCAGCCTGATTGAACCTTCGGGCGTAGGTTGGGCAGGTAGTTCACCTAGCCAACCTACGCTCGTTTTGCTCTGAGGCTTGGCCATATGCGCTCCATCCTACGCACACAATCGTTTTTTGACAATTTGCGGAATTGGCTCTCGCTCGTCATTTCAAAATCGAGGAAATGGCAAATGGAAACGAAGCTCACGAGTATTATGGGGTTACAAGCTCCTGAGCACAAATTCGGAACACTCCCATCGTAACCTTCAAAATTTCAACGGAGCCAAAAAGTCTATCCAGGAGGACTGGAGGCTAATTAGGGGGTTAGCTAACACTGACTTCTATGATGATGATGATGAAGTCTTCACCGTTGATCAATCCCCTTTTTGGGATGCGGCACGCATTTTATTCTCATTCAGAATCGTAGTGGCCTATTGAATGCGATGTGGCCTATACACGCCCCACATACTTGCGGGCGCCAGCCGCATGTATGCACTGTCAATCTAGTGCTTCTGTCTCCAGAACGAAATCTGGTACCCTGTATTACCCTCCCGAAGGGTAAATGCTTGCTGGCCTGCAAGAGTGACGACTCGTGATGTTGCACCCAGCGACCCACAAGCGAGCGAGTATTTGTAAGGCCAGCCAGCTTTCAATACACCCACCTCCGCCCTTACTGACTGCTATAATGAAGGAAAAACATGCGGATATGGAAAGTGAAATTGAAGTAAAATTTAAATCTCACCAAGTACGCGTTCTGCATAATATTGGTAAGCGCTTGTTGATATTGATTCTGTTGGAAAAGGGACTTCTGAAAAAAAAGCGAAAAGTGACAAAACTTTAAAACGGACTGCCCTATAATGCTTCACTTCTAAAAACGCCGAGTGACGCAGGAGAAGAGCAGAAAACACTAAGGTTACCTGCTGTTGAAGATATCCGTGAATTCATCGGCATAGACGGGCACCTTGTCGTCACGTGCTACCCAGAACTTCATGTCATCCGTTGATACCTTTAATTACCTCGAAGTGGATGGTACTTCGGGCTAGGGAAAAAAAATGAAAGCCAGTGGAGTATAAATGGTGGAACTGACCACAAAAACAACAGCCTTCTGGCACTGCGGATCCAGCGTCCACCTCGCTAACATGTCATTTGCCATCTTTTTTACAGCCTAAAAATCAGAACTAGATAAAAACTGGTAGCGCAAAATTCAAACTTTTGGCATAAAAAGGAAGACTGATTATGGAAAGCTTCTCCGCCTCGTCCCTCTACTTTGCTGGTACTGCGAGGCGTCAAATAATTAAATTACTCACACCACTAGCTAGATCATCTCACTGAGGGTGAGACTATCTTTAGTTGGGCTAGTTCAATAACACTGAAGTTTACCAACACTTTATCGAGGAGCTCATCTGGAAATGGGGAAACCGTTTTTTAGTAGGGGAGGGGGGGGGTGCGAGAAGATTTGCTGGAAGAGGAGGATCATAAATGGGCTGCTCAATAAAAATTGGTTCAAAGGGAGAATCAAAAATCTAAAAGATAGGTAATTTTAGTTTTCTGGGGAAATAAGTGCAGTACGTATCTGAGGGTAATGCGAGGAGTCTCAGCGACGGCTGCTTCATGCCGAGGGCCTCTCTGATGCAGATGTACAGTACTGCTGAACAGCCAAGGCACCCATTTTTCACAAATATGTTGTGAAAATAATTGCTATTATGTTTTACCTACTAATGGTTGGTTTCGTGTGTTTGGTAAATGTTCTGGTAGCATATTCGATCTACGAGAGCAGAAAAACCTGTGCCAAAGACAGGATGGTCAAGGACTTCATAAAAGCCAAATTGAAATCCTCATAGCCGCAAGTTCAGCAGTCCCACTGAAGCTCCGTCGTTGAAAACCACTTGATTTTTTACAAATTTCTCGTGATAAATCATGCCATCCTGAGCCCGATAAAGCTAGTGGAAAATATGCTCCAAGCCATGCCCGTCGCGCACTATCGCTTGCGGAATCATGACTGTACATGTTTATGCATCTCCCCCGTCTAAACACTCGCTCCATCGCTCATACGCCCACCACTTCCCTCAGATATGCACTGAACCTCTCAACTCCTACCTCCCTACGTTTCCTCAGTCGTACAATGACGCTACCCACTTCCTTGCTACCCATTCCTGGACACTTGCCCTTTCACTGTTTTTGGTGCTGGCATTCTGGTAGTTAAAGGTAGTTGGCACGATAATCTAGTGTTCGGCCTAAAATATTAGCAGGGCGCTATATAGTGGGAAATTGGCGAAACGAAATGAAAAGGTCAAAAAACTGCGAAGAAAAGCCTTCGCCTTTCATGACTCAAAAAGCAAT